ATATATGTGTTGTTTTAGATTTTAGCAGTTTGGAGCAAATTACTTAGTTATTAAATAATATTTTTGGTGTTTTGATTAAAGATAAATTGTTAAAATGACGAATTTGTCAATAATAATAATAATAATAATAATAATAATAATAATAATAATAATAATAATAATAATAATAATAATAATAATAATAATAATAATAATAATAATAATAATAATAATAATAATAATAATCCAAACAAAACGATATACAAAATAAAATTAAAATTTAAAAAAAAAATAAGGAGAAGACAAAAGGGAGTCACGGGCTCCCTTTGTAAATGATGTGGGATCATTTTGATCTCACATTGAAAATGTTTGGAAAGAGGAGCAATGCTCCTCTTACAAACATAATTGCTTGCCCATCAATGTAGGCAAGTAACCTGAAGGGTGTGGTTGAGTGTAAGGGACTCGTCCATCCTTAACCAAAGATCAAGGGTTCGATCCTTGGATTTGGGAATGGAGCAGCCTTAAATCTCTAAGCCAGCAGTCCCACCCAAAAGAGGTGCTTACAATTTAGCGAGGGGATTAGTCACTGTGTCCAACGGTGGAAACCCTGGGTTTACCAACAAAAAAAATATCAATGTGGGCAAGTATTGAGAAGTCCAAAGTTTTTTTTTTTTTTTTTTTTTTTTTTGTTAGAAGTAAAGGAAAATTAAAAATGGAAAGGAAATATTTTAATAATAATATTTTACATGATCAAATAGTAAAGACATATTTTAAAAATAGTAAAGATAAATTAAAAATGGAACGAAAATATTTCATTAATAATATTTTACATCATCCAATTAAAATGGAACGAAAATTAGGTAAAAATATCACTGCATCTATATTCTAATTGACTGATTGATTGGAAATAAAAATGAATAATTAACTGAAAATGAATCTAATATTTCTAATTGAATGAAAATATAAAAGGAAATGAATATTAATAATTGACTGCAAATAAAAAATGATCTATAATGGACTAAAAAATGGTAAGATCATTGCATTTTAATTTAAAATGGAATGAAAATTAAAAATTGGAGGAAAATATTCCAATAATAATATTCTACATTATCAATAGTAAATGCATATTTTAAACAATAGTAAAGGTAAATTAAAAATGGAACGGAAATATTTCAATAATAATATCTACATCATCAATTAAAAATGGAACGGAAGTTAGGTAAAAATATCACTGCATTTGATATTTTAATTGATTGAAAATAAAAAAGAATAATTGGCTGAAAATGAATCTGATATTACGAATTGACTGAAAATATAAAAGGATAACTAATTGAGTGATATTCTACCATTATATATTTTCACCCAAATAACCCGTCCTGATGGAGAAGATGTTAGCTCTAGGCGAAGATGAACAAGATTGTGTTGTCACTAACAATGTCGTCTACAAAGAGGTTTCAATAATGTGTAAATATAATCGGTGATATTAATTTTTTTTTTTAAATGAAAAATTTGCTATATATCTAGACAAAAAAATATATCTTCCATACAAATGAATATGGATAGCAATTCATTTCTATAACTGAGTTGTTAGAGAACGAGCACATTTACCTAATGTATGAAAATACTAAACAATGATAAAAAAAATCTTCAAAATTATAGGACCGCATCTGTACATCTAGACATTAGCTATTAATTTGAGCAATTATTTGCACAAATTCAAGCAATGATAATATCAAAATATATAAATGATTCAAATCATATCTTTAAGTGCACTATATAATATTTGATGTTCTAATTTAAATAATTATATATCGATTCATATATTCTTAATATATTACAACATATTCATTCCGTACATCGCACGGGTGCAAATACTAGTGTTACAAATAAAAAAATCCAATTAGAATTCTCACTATTGATATTGAAAAATTTGAAAACAAAATTAAATGTTGTAGAATTTGAACTGTTAAATTTGAAAACAAAATTAAATGTTGTAGAATTTGAACTGTTGACCATTTCATATTATTATATGGAAATAATGGCCTTACCATCTAAGCCAAATTAATCTACACTTAAATTTTGATATATTTAATATATATACAATATATATATAGAATGAGGGAGTGGGTGCAGCTGCCTCCACTATGACTCAGCCACTGAGTAGGAGCGAAAACCTCATCTACATAAAGTGCATAGGCAATAGAATTTTGAATGGAATTCTTTGAAAAATTTGGGTTATGATGAAATCGGAAAACTTGGGTATTCAGGCACGGTCATTGAGTCTAGGGTATAGTTTGATGAAATCAGAAAATTTGGGCTATGAAATAATAATAATAATAATAATAATAATAATAATAATAATAATAATAAAAAATAAATAAATAAATAAATAAACTTGTAGCGTTACAGTTGACATCATCACTAATCAGGTGCGGAGCCACCCCTACCCCATAGGGGGCCTTGGCCCTCACCCCACCTCCCATTTTTAGTAAATATATAGGTATATATTATTATAATATGGTTATATGGATAAATTACACTTTTTGTCCCCTTCTTAATTTTTTTTTAAAAAATAATATATTATGTATATATTAAATGAACGCGAAAGTTACATTTTCCGTCCCTAAGTTATGAAATAATTGTAAAATTCATCCATAATTGTTGGTCGTGTTCACTTTTCGTCCCTAAGCTATAATTGACGTTGTAAATTTCGTCCTTTTAATAACAAGTTGCGGTCACTCTTCCTTTCTAAGCTATACTTCGTTCCTAATGTTTTGTTAGTAAAGGAACGAAATTTGCAACATCAATTACGGAGTATATTTTAGGGACGAAAAGTAAGCACGACTAATTATTATGAATTCTTCAATTACCCTATAACTTAGTAAAAGTGTAATTTTTTACTATTGTTTAATTTTTGTCTTATGTAAAAAATTCAAAATTAATGTTTGACAATCTTAACGATCGTACTCATATAATTATATATTTCATATAGTATTGCACATAGTATAATTAAGGGATAAAGTACAAATAAGCCACTGAACTATTTGGGAAAAAGTAATTAAGCCATCGAACTCAAATAACCCCCAAATAAGCCATTGAACCCGGAAAAAAAGGAGCAATTAACATTTTTAACAGGTTAACTCCAGGTTTTTACTAACTGGATTGCCTAATGTTTATTTTATTTACGTTTTTTTATTATTATAATCCATCTACATAGTAATATATTTTAAAGTAATTATAATCAAAGTAGTTTTGTCTTGTCTAGATCTAATTTATTTATTTATTATTATTATTTTTAACAAAAGATCTAGTTAAAAAATAATAATAAATAAACAAATCAAATCTCGACAAGATAAAACTATTTTGATTATAATTATTTTAAAATATAATACTATCCAAGTGGATAATATTAATAAAAATAATAATAAACGTAAATAAAATAAACATTTAGCAATCCAATCAGCAAAAACTTGGAGTTAATCTATAAAAAATGTTAATTGCTCTTTTTTCAGGGTTCAATGGCTTATTTGCTCTTTTTTTTTCCGGGTTCAATGACTTATTTGATGGTTATTTGAGTTCGATGGCTTAATTGCTGTTTCCCAAATAGTTCAGTGGCTTATTTGTACTTTATCCCTATAATTAAAAATAATTATCAATAATAAATGGCACAATCATATATGGTATATATATAATAATATTATGTGGTTGGTACTAATATCGACTAAGATGATAAATTCTCTATAAATTTGCCCCCTCCCCCCCCTCCCCCCCGACTTTCTGGCTCTGCCACTGTCACTAATACATGGATTTTAAAGAGATCTATTACATGTACTTTCAAATCTTACTCCCTCAAATTTACTCCCTGATCGATGTGACGGGTTCTGATAAATTATTTTTTCACGTGAGTCTCAATACAAGTGTCTACCTCAAGATTTTGTGTGTGAGAGTAAAAGTTGAGAGTATAGAGTTGGAGTACACATAGTATTTTCCGATTTTAAAATTGGAAAATCACTATTTTGGTTTCTCAATTGTTTTCTAACTGTCAATGTAGTCTATACTTTTCAATTTCAACTAATTTGATCCTTGAATTGTTTAGAATTTCATCAATTACACCATAAAATTCTAAATAATTCGAGGATCAAATTGATAAAATTTTAAAAATGGAGAAATTACAATTTTGATCTCTCAGAAGGATTTAATTGACAAAATTTTAAACAATTCGAAAATTAAACTAGTTAAAATTGAAAATTAAGAGTTACATTAACAATTGAGAAAAACAATTAAGAGTTCTCAATTAAGAGGCGAAAATGGTGATTCTCCCTGGCCTTTTAAAATTGAATTGCTATATACTCCGGATTCCGGAATCATAGGAAGGCTTTTGTAAGTTTCACTCTTTTCATTGAATGGCCCCGGCCAAGCTGAGACAAAATGTGATACCAACCAATTAAGGATAGAGCTAGCTTTTGGTGATGTTTGAATCTGATACTTACCTTGCTACTTTAATCATTTTGCTAGGATAGATTGCTACATAATATTTGAATCTGATGCCTTTCCTCCCAAATTATATTTTATGTGTATTTTAGAGTTAATACCATCTAGGGTTCTTCAAGTACAGTAATTTTACCACATTTAGTCCTAAACTTTTAAATTAATTCACTCCTGATCTTTCAACTTTCAAGTTAATCACCCGTGATTCTTCAACTTAATTTCAAATTTTAACTAGTCGTGATTGACATTCTGAAATGACCACAATTTATTAAAATTTAAAAGTTGAAGGTAGTTAAGTTAAAAGTTGAAGGACATGTTGCTTAAATTTTTTGAAAATTGAAGAACTATGGGTGGTAACTTGAATCTTTAAGACTGAACACCATTATACTCGGAGGATCCAGATTAAGTTTTTTTTTTTTTTTTTTTTTTTTTTTTTGGAAATAATTAAGTGTTTATTTTAAATGCAATGTTTGGTACATAGTAATTTTTCCAGCTTTAAGCTTCTTTTGGACTATAAATTTAAGTAACAAGGCTACGCTTTTCTTATCCAATATTGTTTTCAGGCCGGTTTCGATTGTAATACTAGCAAGTGTTGAAATGGCAAGCCAACAACAACAAGCTCGACCCATGTTCCGGTTTGCTTCCATGCTTCGCCCGGCCGGCGCGCCACCGCCTCCGCCTCCCGCCGCCGCCGCCGCCCCACAACCCATGTTTCGGCCCCCCATGGCTGCCCCATTTAGGCCTCCGCCACCTCAAACTCGAGATCCTAGCCCCCCTCAAAGGCCAGCAACCGCTCCCGCTCCCGCGCCGGCGCCTCCTCCCCCTACAGCTCCAGCGCCACCGCAACCGGTGGCGCCACCTCCGGCTGCTCCTCCTGCCCCGCGCTCCCCTGCTCGAACTGTCCAACCAAGGTTTACAGTCGGGGCACCACCTCCGGCGCCGGAGCCGCGTCCCGCTGCCGCCATTCCCTCAGCGCCCAAATCGCCGGCGGTGACTAGAACATCGGCGGCGATTCCGGCCGTGCAGGATTCCACTCGGCCGTTTCAGCTTTATCAAGCTCCCAAACCGGCTACTTCATCATCATCAAGATCTCCACCGCCATCACCCAGAAACCTTGAGCCTGCCATGAAAGAAACCAATCAGTATTCTCCCAAAGTCAAGCCTGCAGTTTCTCCTCTGAAACTTCCCCCGGCGGCTCAGTTTAAGTCGGAAGCAGAGGTGGAACCAAGAATCCCGGCGGAAATTGATCAGAAAACGGTGGTGGTTCAACAAAGATCTGAAAGAAACAAGGCAACTGCCCAGAAATTCAATGCCACCCAAAGGTATGGCAGCAGCGAGACTGACTGGACCGGAAAGAGAGAAGCAATGATGACCAAAGACAAAGACAACGTTCATCACAAGAAACGATCAGACACCGAAGAGTCACTCGGAATAAGTATTCTCACACTTGCAGGTAATTAAATAAGTGGCACTTTTACTAACATGTGATCCTAAATTTTCTTCCAAAAGGTTGAACCAACCTTAAGGGCCCCACACCCCGACCCGACAGAGCATTTGGGAGGTTGTAAATCATGGTAACTCAATTGAACATGAATCAATTCGATCCGGATTATTTTTTCAACTTTTCACCTCTATGACCAGTTGAGTTGCCCATGTGGGTACATGTAATCATACATTTTACTTCTTGACCTAGCGGATAAAGATAAGCTATTCTCACACTGCAAAAAAAACTCCTAAAAATCATTATTGTGGATGCCTTAATGATAGCATTCGACACAGGCGGGTGAAGGGACCAAATCCAACACCCTATTTGGCTGTATATAATGAAATAAAGTTATGCTTTTAGCTAAGAGTTACCGATTTTGGCGTAATGGTAAGCCTTTTACGAAGGCTTGAAGGATCAAGTTCAACACTTTACCTCTCTAGAATATAGAAGCCTTCGCTATGAGCTATAACTTTTGATGTAATGATAAGCCCTTGGCGAAAGTTGAACGACCAAGTCAAGCATCTTCAATTCTTTTAAAAAATGTGACAGTCTTTGTTACATTATAACTTTTGATATAATGGTAAGTTGGTAGCAGTTTTATTTGTACCCTAGTGGTAGGGCTAGCTTGGTACTAACAAACAAACACAATCTGGCTGAACTTGCAGGAGAGAACAAGGGAGCCATGATGGAGCTTAGCCCTGCCCAAGCTAATAAGCATGGCTTCAACGGCAACCCTCGCAGGCTTCAGAAAGAATGGAGCGAGGGGGAGAAATCTGGGAAGGAAAGCGACGAAGAAGAAGGCAAGTCTAGGATGGGGGAGAAGAACAATAATCCAAAGGGGACGGAATCTTTGCCCATGACTGCTTTCACGAACAGCAATGTGCAAGGAGTGAACAATTCAGTTCTCCACAATGCAACATGCACTCACCATGACCCTGGTGTTCATCTCACCTTTTCCAGAAAGGCTGGCCGCTATACCAAGGAGGCTCAGCGCCTCAAGGACTAATGGTGTATGAACATCATACCCTTTATACCCTATCTACTTCTGTTTCCAGGTAGGCTCCTTAATTAATTAGCCTCAACATATTCACTCTAATTCTAAATCATCTTCATTTAGAACTATACCTTTTAAGCATGATGAGAATCAGATACAAATCCAATTCTCATGTCTGTTTATTTTTGAATTGTGCAGAATGGCATTTAAATTAAATCTCTCTATGAAAGATTTCTAATTGTTATATCATGGACCAGGGACACCTTACATTGTGAACCCTGGTTCAAAAATATTAAGTGCCTTCACGATCAGTTAATAAATTATGTTTTTGTATAAATTAAAGACATAATATGTTAACTTCAAGCACACATCATATTTTAACTGCATATTATGTGCATCTAAATTATTTAAATCTCTCTTCAATGAAAGTTGTTATACCATGGACTATGGTCCACTTTATATTGTGGACCCTGATCCAAAAATTTACAGTTAACATATTATGCACTTTCCGTTAATAAATTATATATTTTTAAATAAATTGAAGACATATAATATGTTAATTACAGGCACATCATATGTTAACTGCATATTATGTCTGTAGTTAATTAACATATTATCTGCATATAGTTATTAATCTATTATGTGTCTTCAATTTATTTATAGGCACATAATTTGTTAAATTAATTACATGCACATAATATATTAATTACAAACACATAATCTTCTTTCAAAAAAAAAAAGGTACTACAAGCACATAATTTGAAAATGTTATTCCACAATGCAAGGTGAACCTAATCTAAGATATAATTTGCCAAAAATTTTATCATCATTCATTTGGGTAATTCACTTCTGCATGCATGCTGAAAAAAATGGAAAAAATGAAGAAAGGTAGAAACTTTTTTTTAGAAAAAAAAACAAAATTATTAATTCATTTTTATCCAAACCCATAATGGAAGACTTTATTATTATTTTTTGTTTTAAACAAAATGGCTATACCGCTCTCTCTCTCTCTATATATATATATTTTTTTTGAAAGGAGCCTGTACGGCATTTATTCTTATATATATATATATATATATATATATATATATATATATATATATATATTACTTTTACTAAAATTTATTTAGATTATTAAGTATGTGATCGATTTGATTCTCATGTGTCTTTAGGGAAGAGAGAAAAAAATTACTCTGAATTTGTTTATTCTTATTGTGTTTCACTTTCATGGAACATGTCCATTTCTGTTTTTATTTTTTATTTTTATTTTTTTTATTTTTATTTTTATTTTTGGTTTTTCAGTATTTGATGTAATTGATGATTGGAGTGATCGATATGATACATAAAGGGGCCGGGCATGCATGGACTCTTATTCCTCATGGCTGCATTCCACTTGTGCTGGAGGGTGATCAGGATATGTCCTTTAATTTGCCCAATTTCAATTCCCTTACTAATATTTTATATATGTTACATACGTTGTATTATGTTTAATGTAAAGAAACCCCAATAAATGAGCAATAGATACACTGCTGCGGCACTGTTGTATGCTCATCATTTCTGTTCTAAAGATTTTTCTATTCTAATAATATTAATAATATTATTATGTGCAAAATAAAATGGCTCAATAAGTTCACATATTTTCTCACATCTTTTTCTTTTTGTTCACTTGAAGGACATAAAGGGCGGATAATCTACAATGAGGGTAGCTGCCTCATTCCCTTTATATATATATATATATATATATATATATATATATATATATATATATATATATTTGTATGTATAGGTCTCTTATGTATATACATAGTAAATGTTTACAGGGCGTTTGGTTGGAGGGGGGGAATTATGTGAGAAAGGAATTGTAATTCCATGGGAGTTGAATTACTGGGAATAAAGTGAGAATTTAAATTCCAGTGTTTAATTGACGGGAATAGAATTACTGGGAATTTCAATTCCAATGTTTGGTATACATGGGAATTGAAAGGGAATAAGTAGTATAAAGTCCAAAATGCCCATTGTTGTTGTTAAAAGGAAAGATCATACATTCATTTTAGTGGGCATGGGATTTTAATTCCATGAAAATGGGAGAATTGCAATTCCCTCCAACCAAACTACGAAATTTAATGACATTTGGAATTAGGTGGGAATTAAGTGGGAAGAGAATTTAAAATCCCTCCAACAAACGCCCTGTTATAAGTACCAAATATACATAAAGAGTTAATTAACATTTTGGTACCTCAACTGTTTCTCAATTGTTAATGTAGTCCTTAGATTTCAATTTCAACCAATTTGATTCTGGAATTGTTTAAAATTTCGTCAATTAAACCCTTTCAGGGACCAAAATGTTGATTTTCACATTTTTAAATTTTTGTCAATTTGGTCCCTGAAAGGGTTTAATTGACAAAATTTTAAACAATTTCAGGATCAAATTGGTTGAAATTGAAAACTAGGGACTGCATTAATAGTTGAGAAACGATTGAGGGACCAAAATGTTGATTTTCCCTATACATAAATTTTGACAAAGGATGAACTAGCTTAGATGGTAAAATATGTAGTTTTCATCTTAAATCTTAAATCTTAAATGTCAAGAGTTCAAATCTCAAACTATGAATTTTATTTGTAATGTTGTGGTTTTTTTCATTTTTTAATATTAATCGTGAGATGAATGATTTATAATGTGTTTTCCATTCGAATCACTTTTTTATTTTTTAATATCAATCTTGGGATGAATGATTTATAATGTGTTTTCCGTTTGAACCCTACTTTATCTAATTAAGTATTTCATTTTTATTCAAAATACCTCATTAATTTTAATCTTTTACTTGAAAAAGATTTCTGAATCCACCCCTAAAACACCCCATTATAATTTCTATCACTAATTAAAATAAAGAGAACCAAATGTGTTTTTGTATTCAATGATATTATATATCCAACATTATAATAAATATATAGAGTTCTTACGAGTAGACGTATCCAATTTCAAGCTAATATTAGCATCAACAAGTAGGTCATTATGCGATGTAAAAATAGTAACATATATTCAATATGAGTTAATAACCAAAATGGTCCATCGATTATGACATAATTATCAATTTAGTCATCAACTATTATTCTTACCTAATTAAGTTCTCAATTATGTAATATTTACCTAATTTAGTCCTCTATTAATTTAATTGTTTGTTGACCGTTAAAGCTGAGGACAAAATTATAATTTCATAACCTTTCTCCTTCCCCTTTCATTTAGCAGTGTCAAACCTTGCAACAAATGTTCATTGCTAAACCATTTCCATTTGTTGCCTTTCCAATTTCCAAGTCTTGTAGGTGTAACAGAACAGCAACGAGAGTGAGCACTGAGCAGAGAGAATGTCGCCATGTCGGAGGGAGCGGAGGCAGATAAGAAGCCTGGCGCCGGTGTTCGAGTCGATCAGGCTGCTCACATCAACCTTAAAGTCAAAGGACAGTATGACAACGAGGTCTTCTTTAGGATCAAAAGAAACACTCAACTGAAGAAGCTCATGAATGCATATTGTGATCGACAGTCAATTGATTTCAACTCTGTAACTTTCTTGTTTGATGGATACCTTCTTTGAGCAGGGTAGACTCGAGATGAGCTGGAGATGGAAGATGGAAGATGATGATGAAATCGATGCAATGCTTCATCAAACTGGAGGGAACCACTAAGTGTACGTTCTATACTTATTGCTGGAGATATCTTATGTTGATGTGTTGACTTGAAATGATTTGTCAAATTCAAGGTAAAAAGGGATTACTAAGTCAAGTAAGAATTAGGAATTATATTCCTAGTCTAAATAGGAATAGCAACTATATTCCTATCTATACTATAACTCTCGGCCTATAAAAGAAGCAGCTCCACAATACTTCAGATCAAGTTTTCAAGATCTAATTGTGAGTCACGAGAGTCATTGAGAAGAGATACCCAAATCCCCTTGAAAAGTAGTACATGTGTTTAGGTCACAATAGTCTGATAGGAAAGATCATCATATTGTGTAATCCCCGTTCCCTAAACAGTGTACTTTGAATATTAAGCTTTTAGTGGATTTAGGCAAATTCTCAACTTGAGAAGTGCCTCGCAGATTAGGGTTGTTTGCCTGAACTGCGTTATAAATTGATTGTGTCACAACGTCAGTTTTAACATTACTGTGTGCATCACTTATATATATTTCAATTGGTATCAGAGCAGGTCGGCTCTAGTTACTAGCAGGATCCAAATTGAATTCCCAAGAGAAGGTCTCTCAAACAATAAACCACCAGCCCTACTTGGCACAAACTTCTCCTACTGGAAAGCCCGAATGCAGATATACATTCTAGCACAAGGAGAAGGTGTCTGGAATGCAATTGAAAACGAATGGAAAACTCTAGTTGATGACAAAGAGAATAGAAAACCTAAAATTGTCTGGAGTGAAGAAGAGAAAACAGAATATGACTTCAACTTGAAGGCAATGAATGCAATATATGGAGCTGTGAGCGAAGATACCTTCAAACTGATTGCTACAACTCGCATAGCCAAAACCGCATGGAGTATTTTATGCGGATCATCATGAAGGGAACACATCTGTAAGACAATCCAAGTTATATATGATACAAACAGAACTTGAGAATCTAAAAATGGACGAAGAAGAAAGCATCACACAGTTCAGTGCCAGAGTTTTAAGTATTTCCGGAGATGCATTCAACCTAGGTGAACCTATACCTGAGCATAGGATCGTCAAAAAGGTACTACGCTCACTACCTGGAAGATTCCTAATAAAAGTCACTGCAATTCAAGAAAACAAAGATCTGAATACATACAAACTTAGTGACCTAATGGGAACCCTTCAAACCTATGAGCTTGAGATGCTACAAAATCAGAAAAACAATGGCAAACTACAATCCAAACAAGAAGAAAACTCAGAAACTGATTCTGAAACCATGGAACAGTCAATTGCACTATTGACAAAGAATTTCAATCGAGTTCTCAAAAAATTCAACAAATTCAGAAATAAAAACTTCTCGAATAACCAAGGAAATTCCATAGTCAATCAAAAACCAACGGTGCAAAACGAAGAGACAATTCAAATACAGAAGGAATACAATGTTATGAGTGCAAAGGGTTTGGACACATCCAATCAGAATGTGCCACATACTTGAAAAGGAAAAACAAGACATACATAACAACCCTGAGTGATGACTCAGATAGCTAGTGAAGAAGACAGCAACACAAATTTCGTAGCCTTCACCGCCAATCATGAAAATAACAATGGCGATGACATGAAAGAGTTACTAGAGGCTTATACTCAACTAAATGCCAAATGGGAACAGATTATCAAGGTAAATCTAGAACTCATGGAAGAAAATCAATTTTTAAAAGATGAAAAAGATCGGGGAGAAAAACGATACAAAGAAGCTCAAAACGAACTATTAGACTCCAAAAACAGAGAAGCTAAACTACTACAAGAAATCAAGGAGCTTGCCGAAAGACCCAGGTCTCCAATCTCAGACACAAACGAAAATCACCAAACCGAGTTACAGGAAGTGTCGCAACACCGCTTTCAACATTGAAGAAGAATAAGATGCTACTATTGTGATAAACTGGGACACATCAAAGCACACTGCTATAAAAGACAGAATGATCTTTATTACAGGCAAAACAGCAGGGCTTGGCCAACACACAACAGAAATAACAGCAAGGAAATTTGGGTAAGAAAAGACCAAAATGTTGCATACACCTACAAGACAAACAAAGAGTAAGACATATGGTATTTTGACAGCAGATGCTCTAGGCATATGACTGGAAATCCAGAAAATTTAGAGAACATACAATATAAAGATGAAGGATATGTTACCTTTGGTGATGGAGGAAAAGGGAAGATCATTGCAAGTGGAATTTTGAACGTACATGGGCTACCAAGACTACCAAAAGACTTCCTAGTACAAGGGTTAAAAGCAAACTTGATTAGTATAAGCCAACTATGTGAAGATGAACTTAAAGTGGAATTTTCAAAGGACAGCTGCAATGTCCTCAACCAAAATCATGAATGTGTAATGATCGGAAGAAAATCCACAAATAAATGCTATACATGGGACGGTGATCTAACTTGCTTGCAAACAACCATGAATCAAGCACAATTATGGCACCAACGGATGGGGCACATAAACTTCCATGACATGAAATAGGGTTTAAAAAGGGGAGCCTACCAAGGAGTTCCAACACTCGACATAGATGAAAACAAAAAATGTGATGTATGCCTTGAAAACAAAATTACACGAACAGCCCACAAGAAGTCCTTGGGAATACACACTTCTAGAATTCTAGAATTACTTCACATAGACCTATTTGGTCCTACTCAAACAAAAAGCATAGGAGGGAAGAGATATGTCTATGTGACAGTAGACGATTACTCACGATTCACATGGGTAAACTTCCTTAGAGAAAAATCTGAGGCATTCGCAACATTCAAAACTCTCATTATCAAAATCCAGAATGAAAAAGATAGAAGAATAGGAAAAATCATTCGGTTAAGAAGTGATCACGGAAGGGAATTCGAGAACTCCAAATTCAAAGAATACTGCACAGAAAATGGGATTCATCATGAGTTTTTCGCTCCAAAAACACCCCAACAGAATGGTGTAGTCGAACGAAAGAATCGAACTATCCAAGAAATGGCAAGGGTCTTTTTAAACCACAAAAGATTACCATCAAAATTCTGGGCTGAAGCAGTAAATACCGCATGTTACCTGATAAATCGAGTATTCATACGAAAAGAGACCAACATGACACCATACCAAATCTGGAAAGGAAAGACACCAAATTCAAAGCACACACATGACTTTGGCAACAAATGCTATATACTAAAAGATAGAGAACCATTGGGAAAATTTGACATAAAAGGAGATGAAGGAATATTTCTAGGATACTCCTCAAATAGCATGGCTTATAGAGTGTTTAACCTCAGAACAGACACTGTCATGGAATCCATAAATGTTGTCATCAATGACACAACACCAGAAAATCCCTCCACTAATGATGAAGAATTAACTGTTGTTGAAACAACAGTTCCAACACCTCCAGAACAGAAAACTGAAACAGAAACAACAGAGAAAGAAGAAGCAAAAGATCTTGAAGAAATTGAGGACACCCTCACTACTAATGACACAAGGATACAGAAAAATCATCCAGTAGAAAACATTATAGGAGGACTCAATGAAGGGATCAGAACCAGAGGAAAGAAACGAGACTATCAAAAAATGGAAGAAGGGGACTATCGCTACACCTAAAAAATAGAACCCAAAAACATCACGGAAGCCTTAAGAGATGAATTCTGGGTGGAAGCCATGCAAGAAGAATTACAGCAGTTTGAAAGAAACAATGTCTGGGAGTTAGTCTCTAAACCAGAAAACGCCAATATCATAGGAACAAAATGGATCTACAAGAACAAAACAGATGAACAAGGGAACATAACACGAAACAAAGCCCGTCTAGTAGCACAAGGATACACGCAAGTAGAAGGAACAAATTTTGAGGAAACATTCTCTCCAGTAGCCAGAATTGAATCAATCCGGCTTCTCATACCAATAGCCTGCATACTCAAGATAAAACTCTACCAAATGGACGTAAAAACAGCCTTCTTGAACGGAAATTTAAAAGAAGAAGTCTACGTTGCTCAACCAAAAGGGTTTGAAGATCCTTATCTTCCACAAAACGTATTCAAGCTCAACAAAGCCCTATATGGACTAAAACAAGCACCACGAGCCTGGTATGAACGTCTCACTGAATTTCTAATTAAAAATGGCTACAAGAGAGGAAGCGTGGACAAAACTCTATTTGTCAAACACTATAGACAGAACATTGTCATCTCTCAAATCTATGTTGATGACATAGTCTTTGGATCAACACTCGAATACCACAAAGATCAGTTCATCGCCAATATGGAAGGAGAATTTGAGATGAGCATGGTATGTGAACTAAACTACTTCCTAGGCCTACAAATCAAACAACAAGACAATGGGATCTTTATATCACAAAGTAAATATGCTAAGAACCTTGTTAAAAGATTTTGTCTTGAAGATAGCAAAATTGTCAGAACACCTGTTCCAACAACAGAAAGGATATCAAAAGATTCAGAAGGAAAACCGGTTGAACAAATCTTTTATCGAAGCATGATAGGAAGAGTGCTATATTTAACTGCAAGTAGGCCAGGTCTAAGCTTTGCAATAGGAATTTGTGCAAGGCATCAAACCAATCCAACTGAGCAACATTTAAAAGCAGTAAAAAGAATTATTAAATATGTGAAAGGAACTTCTGACCTAGAAATATGGTATTCTTTCGACACCAATCATCATCTATCAGCCTATTGCGATGCCGATTGGGCAGGAAACATAGATGACAGGAAAACACCTCAGGAGGATGTTTCTTCCTAGGTACAAACCTAGTATCATAGATCAACAAGAAACAAAGCTCTATATCCCTATCAACAGCAGAGGCTGAATATATTGCAGCAGGGAGTTGTTGCACACAACTACTTTGGATGAAACAAATGCTAGAAGATAATGGAATACATCAGTCAACTATGATCATTCACTGCGATAATAAAAGCGCAATAGATATTTCAAAAAATCTAGTACAACATTCAAGAACAAAACATATTGACATCAGGCATCACTTCATAAGAGAGTTAGTAGAAGATGAAATCATCAGTCTCACTCATATCAGTACAGAAAAATAACTAGCAGACATCTTAACAAAAACTCTTGATGGAAATAGATACACAAAATTAAGGGCCGAAATAGGCCTGTGTATTCTATAAATCACTTAATCAAGAAAGCACATGGGCCGTATCCACAAAATTAAGGTAACAAACAAGTCAAGCCCATTCTACATCACTATCATCCCTAATATGACAAGATGTTAAGAAAGCCCATATCAAAAAGCCCAAAACCCGAATTCAACACCTCAAATAATCCCCAAATTAAAAACAGAGTCACCATCTACACCCGACATCATCCATCGTCTACTCGTGAACCTTCACTCACCCCCACACTCAACAAAGACAACAATGGTGAGAACCAGGAATCAGAGGATGGGGAAGATACCTCAAAGAGGAGTCACTGGTAGCTCTTCACAGTACACTAGCACCGGAGAATCCTCGAACCCACTGTGCGTCGAAGAAGAAAGCCCTCCTACCGTAGTAATAGATCCAGTTCCAATTTCCAAAGTCCCCTTCGGCGAGCCTCAAGAACAGAGCAACGTCCCACCAGGTAATCCGAATCTTCCTCTAGTTAGCCATGATGAACAACCCAATTGTATGCCCATTTCGGCTGATCTTGGGGACAATAGAATCGTTGACCCGAACGATCTAGTGGTACAATTAAGGTTTGCCATAAATCGCGGCTGGGAACCCGATTTATCTTCCTATGTTAGCTTCGAAGAAGAGATGAATCTAAGGGAGCCAGAAGTTGAGGAACACGACGAACCTCAAAATCAAGAGGCAAATCGTCCTCCCAGCCCTCAAAACGAAGAACATATCATAGCTATTGAAACCATTCCAATCTCTCGGGTCAACAAGAACCCTAGAAAAAGGAAGAAAAGCGACCAGTAAGAAGGGAAAATGAAAAATATCAACCAAAGTGGTTAAAACATCTGCCAGGGAAAAGGGGAAACAGAAAGTGGTTAATAATGCTGACATGTCAAACCTACCAAAACCCCACAGTACAACCTTTTTAAGAAAGAAATCTGTCAACTTATGGAAAAGAATAGTGGAGAAAAAGATCATCAGCCAAAAGTTGCTTATCATAGACAGACTAGACAATTCAGAACAGATTCAGGAAGTTCTAATCACAAACCAACTCTTGGGAACAGTCACCAATATTGAGCCCTATGATGAACAAGTGATCCAGGTGTTCTATTGCAACCTGACAAAAACCACCTATATACCTAGCAGTCCTATGTATGGGAAGGTATACTTGAGAGGCAACTTCTATGATTTCAGACCGGACACTATCAACAGCTATCTAGGGACACCTGAGACTGAACAAAACATGGAAATAAACAGTGAACAAGTTGCACAGGAACTTACAGCTGGAAATGTCAGTTTTGAAAAGAACAAGATCAAAGCAGCCTCCTTAACAAGCAAATATGCCATCTTCCAGAAAATAGCCCTTGCAAACTGGATGCCCTCATTACATGAATCCACTGTAAAATGGACCTTTGCAGAACTACTATACAGGATAGGGAAAGGAGTTAAAATCAATATGGGTACCATCATCCATTCACAAATCACAAACCTAACAGAAGACACCAAATCCAACACTTCTCTGATTTTTCCAAACCTCATATTTGCCATCCTGACAAAGCAAGGCCTCAAAACCCATGGACCAAAGATCAGTGTCAAGAACATCAACACTACATTAAAACTGAGAAAGGGGAACCACCAAAATGATCTGAAGAACTCAGCTCCAAAGAACAATCCACTTGATCCCAAGACACTTTTAAACTACTTTGAAGGAAGATTGTCAGAATTGGAAATCTCAGAAAAACAACTCCTAAGGAAACACATGGACATCAAGGAAGAAAAAGCAGAAATAATTGAATGGCTAGCAATCCTAAAAACAGAAAATGAAGAAGTTCATGATCAGGAAGGAAATCAAGGATCTGAAGAAGAAAGCCAGGAGAATGTTGAAACCCCTGTTTCAACACCAGAAACAGAAGACAGATCATAACCATTACAAACTCTTTTTAGCAAAAAGGGGGAGAACAAGCAAGAACAAGGCCAAGGCAGACAGTCAGACACATGTATTTTGGGAATATTTTTGTTGCAGGCAGAACAGACAAAGTGTTCCAATCATATATTTCTATGTATTTTTTTTGTCTAAGCACATGCTCTCTGATGACCTTGATATCATTTGATAAAACTGTTATCTATGCTTACTATGGTAATTGTAAATGTGCTATTATCTAGTATACCTTTTTCCTGCATTTGCACACCAATAACCAATAGGTCTATAATGCCTACCAATGACCATGAGGTCTATGATGCACACCAGTATAGTTTCCTAACCAACTCTAGTATATCTCTGAAGACAAAAGAAACAATCAAGTATGTTCCACAAATTAAGGGGGAGTTCCACAAATTAAGGGGGAGATAACTACAAGCTATCAATCCTTGAGAAGAATCAAGGTGAATCAAGGTTTTTGCTAAAAATTTGACAAAGGGGGAGAATGTTGACTTGAAATGATTTGCCAAATTCAAGGCAAAAAGGGATTACTAAGTCAAGTAAGAATTAGGAATTATATTCCTAGTCTAAATAGGAATAGCAACTATATTCCTATCTATACTATAACTCTCGGCCTATAAAAGAAGCAGCTCCACAATACTTCAGATCAAGCTTTCAAGATATAATTGTGAGTCACGAGAGTCATTGAGAAGAGATACCCAAATCCCCTTGAAAAGTAGTACATGTGTTTAGGTCACAGTAGTCTGATAGGAAAGATCATCATATTGTGTAATCCCCGTTCCCTAAACAGTGTACTTTGAATATTAAGCTTTTAGTGGATTTAGGCAAATTCTCAACTTGAGAAGTGCCTTGTAGATTAGCGTTGCTTGCCCGAACTGCGTTATAAATTGATTGTGTCACAACGTCAGTTTTAACATTACTGTGTGCATCACTTATATATATTTCATGATGTTTGAAGTTTCACTGACATTAGTGAATTTCCTAGGTTGTGCATAACTTGGGGTTGTGTCAGGCCCAGCCCTGGGCAAGGGCGGGCTAGGCCTTTGCCCAGGGCCCACGCTGGGAAGGAGCCCACTAGGCCTATACCATACCCAGGGTTGGTCCAAACATTTTATAGGCTCGGGGCCAAATTTTAAAAAAGGGCCCCTGTATAAAAAATTTAAATTTAAATTTAATAATACTAAAAAAAATTAGAATATCAAATAATAATAAATAAGATTAGAAAATTTTCACAATTTTTTAAATACAAAAATAATCATGACAAAAAATTTCTACGTGCTTTACTCGATGCAAAATCATCCATAATTGCATCCAGATTAATATTTTCTAACATATCTTTCTCAATACACACAATCTCCAAACCATTCAATCTTTCTTGTGACATTGAAGATCTCAAGTAGGTTTTCAAATAACTTCCATTTTGAAAAACTTAAAAAGGAACAAAAACACCTGACACTTAGAATACTGAAATAGCCAATCAACAATCTTTATTTCTACCAACGGGTAAATATGTATCTTCAATCCCTACATAAACAAATGAATAAACACATTACACAACTTACAAAATAAAATAAACTAAAATAAAAGCAATCTTCATATAATAAACCTAATAAACTTACAATATCATTATATAGGAATCCTAAGAAATAGAATTAAAAGACAAATAAAATTCCTAATTCCCAACTCTTAAACAACAAATCAATAATTCTTAATTCCAATATGTAATCTGCAATTCATTCTGCAAATTTTCCTAATTTCAAAATGTAATCTGCAATTTTTCCTAATCTGCAATAATTCCTAATTTCAAAATGTAATCTGAAATTCATTCTACACTTCCTAATTTCATTCACAAATAACAATTCCTAAATCCTAACAATTAACAATTCCTAAATTCAGATTACATTAACAATTAACAATTAGCAATGCCTAATCTGCAATTTTAAACCTAATCTGTAATTCATTTTGTTTTTAGAATGTAATATGCAATTCCTAAATCTTAAATTCCAAAATCATAAAATACCTTTGCAATTGCAGATTACTGAGATTAGGCCGGCGAGGGCGCGCGATAGAGGACAGCGACCTGGAGAGTGGCGAAGAAAAGGCAGATGGCGGCGAACTGAAGAGTGGTGAAGGCGAGGTAGAAGACTGTTATTTGGCTTCTGAGCTTTTAATAACTTCATTCTTACCGTTGAGAATAATTGAAGGGTTGCTATGGACTGTGGTGTAGGTGTGACCGGCGAAGCAGAGGGCGGCGTTTCTTCTTCGCATTCCCGTCTTTCCGTCTTCCGTTTTCCACTCTTTATTCGTTTTTTAAATATATATTAACTATTAAGTACGAAGTATTATAATATATATAATATATAATATATAATATATAATATATTACTATATTATCTATGGGCCCCCCTATACACTTGGGCCCTGGGTAGGTGCCTAGGCTGCTCATGCCCCTGGGCCGGGCCTGACCATACCCTTTTATATATACTATAGATATAGCTTTGCATTAATAATGTAGAAGTTAGTTGAGTTGGTAGAATTTGTTATTTGTATGTATGGTTAAGATTAATGGATCAAATCCTTATTTGCACATTTATACATTAAACTTTTCCTCTCTACTACTCTTTAGGGATATTATTATATACTGTTACACGCATCTATAGTTCTATACATCAATAAGATAAAACCTTATCTAAAATACATGGGAAAAGATAATTACATATAAAATATATGTAATTGATCAAAGTATGAACTTTCATATGCATACAATATTATTAAATAAATAATATCAAAATATATATATATATATATATATATATATATATATATATATATATATATATATATTCCATGCATACTGCATGCGTAACCACACCAAATCAACAAAGCAGATGCCAGTCGATTTGATGGACACCGAAAGCATTGATCCGTTTAAAACTAACGATTCGTTAACACCAACGAATCATGAAACTTCGCTTCCAAATCATTTTTCCCAACTTACTTTCTACCAAACTAAAATAATATTTATAACTCCACAACTTCAAATATTATTTAAGCTTTCATGGTAGTTCATCTGAAACATTAATCTCCATTACTATATAAATTTCCAACATTCCACCTCCATTTATATAGTAAAAATTAACACTGTACCAAGATAAATCCAAAACTTATGCATAAATGAAAGTGTCTTAGAGATTGAACTTTCACATAGTATTATATGCGTTACATTAATTCGGATTGCAGTGATGGACGAACGTTGAATCACGTAGTCTCTTTGAAGAAACGTAGATATAACACACACAAGTTTTGCAGTCATTACAACTCACTGTAACTTGACACTATTAAGGCCATGTGTCCGTATCCATTAATGAGCACATACCAAGTAAAGCCCAAACTTGTTTGAAGCGGCAACACTTCATGCTCACAAAGGCTAATCTTTGATATCATGCACTGCAACTTGCATTTTTTTAAAAGATCAGTTAAGTGTAAAAACTCATCCCTACAACAATGCAGAACCAAGCATCACCTTTTCTTGGGATACAAATTTTAATTTAAACTTTTGATGCTTGCAATCACAAAATGAAGTACTCATCTACATTGAACTCAAGATCTAACGTAATAACTTAGACGTGAGTTGAGCTTTCCTTCACCTGCAATTAAATAATTAGGCTTTCCATATCCCTTCCGATGTACCATGTCCCTTGCAAGGACTCTTGCAAACGGATTCGTTAAAACCGGAGGACTGTACCAAGTCCAGGCTACAACACCATAACTTAGGAGCTCCCACACATAGCTATATCTCATGCCTATGTGTCTTAACTTGCCATTATAACTTATTGTTATATGCTTTGGCCAGTGTAGTAGCGCTGTCACAATGTACTAAAACTGGTGACATCGGTTTTAGCCAAACCGGAATCTCAATAAATAAATTCCTTAGCCAATTAACTTCTTTGCATGCCTAAACCAATGCAATAAATTCAGATAAACCCATCCACTAATTGAGGAAAACTCTTTCTGATTAGATATAACTGGCATCATAGAATTTTAATATTCAATCAATGAACTTGTGAAAATAAAATATTTGTTTGATCCTACTGGAACCCACTTTACAGGTTCCTAGTCAATAAATATTTATTTTCATGTAAATTCTATAGCTAAGAATTTTCAATCACCATGTAGAAATAATTAACAGTGAGTGATTCCTTAAAATAAAAAATTAAACCTCCTCCACTTGGAATACCATCCACTTTGGAGAACAATCATATACTGATATACCTCCCCCATTCAGAATTATCCATTCACTTTGGGGAATAATCATATATGATTTTAAGCTTTTAACTTTTCATGTTTCTTCTAAACTGAAGAATCATACCTTCTTAAATCATAGTCCATGATTTAAATTAAAACTTTCTTTTCACTGTCAATTTCCATACTAGATAAATCAGTAGTAAACTTTTTGGCTTTCAATATTTTAACACATTCTCAATATGAGAAATTGTGTGTTAAATATATTCATAAATTTTTATGAATTTCATTATGCATACTTCATGGATAAAAGTTTCTGCATGCCTTTATAAGAAATATAACAGAATATTTCTTGGGCTTTCTGCCTTTATCAGAAATATAAAAAATATTTCAAAGACTTTCTGCCTTAATCATAAATATATATAACATAATATTTCAAACTTTCACAACGATAAAATTATCTGTGTGCTAAAATTATCAATAAATTTCATGCATGACATTGAAATTAATTCCAATTTACAATCATTAAACATTGTAACCATGCATAAGAAAACAACAAATTGATAACACCAAACTAATCCAAATTTGGTAGATTTACAGCACCTCAGGATCCAACATATTATACATGTATCTTGTATACTATGCATGCAACCGAGACAGAGTCTCAATATAAAAATATGTATACACATGCATAAACATATCCTTGTATTTAACAGGCTTTGCAAAACTAGAAAAAGTCTCAT